GGGCGTTTACAGTCAGCGTCCAGGCTCAGCCAGTGATAAAGTCCTCCAGTTCACCGTGCTGTCGTAGGAGCTTGCTGACGTCTTCGTGTGACCACAGCTTCCACATCACAGGGAGTTTCACAGCCTGTCTGACAGCGAATAAAACAACTGCATACAGTCAAATATGAGATATTAGGTTCAGGGTTCAGATGCTAACCCTTTGACCAGATTCTTCTTAAGTAAGAACATTTAAAAGTCCATAGAAAGCATTTAAATTCCACTAAGAATAATCAAGCATCTTCATCTTACATTAAAGCAGCACATTAAGTCTCCCTTTAATCAAACTGTAAATTTTTTAAAATTGATAAAATTAAGCAAAATATATGTTAAACCATCAATTAGTTATGATTTACGTGATGAGAGAAACAGCTCTTTTAATTCCTAGTCTTTAAAAGCTTCATATATTTACTGATCCAACCATGACAGGGCTACACTTTGGATAGAAAATCTCTTTAAAAAAAATCATTTTCATGTTCTTTCTCTCTGATATAAGGTTGCATAGGATTAAAGTTCTAACTATGTATTTAATCCAAGAACTGTTTGAAAAGCTTCTACAAAAAGATCTGATTTATTGACCCTTTTATAGAACAACTATAATGAAGCGGAAAAAAAAGCTCCTGAACATGTGAGGAGTCACAACTTTGCTCAATCTTTCATACATGATATAATATACCTTTGACAAATAACAGTAATCTGCATATGTGCAAAGATCTTAAATAAAAAATATTCAATTAAAAAAAACGATGACAGAATACAAAAAATGTATTGTTTTACTACCTAAGAAAACGGGTGATCATTTAAAGATAAAAAACTGCTCCCAACCCAAAGTTTATTGACTCAGGTCTGAAGGTTTGCTTTAAACACACATCCAGCTACTTCATTTCTCCTCTTCTCTCCTAATATTTGCTCTTATTTGTTGTTTTGCAGACTAATCTTTAAAGAAGTCTTCACGAAAATAACACTTTTAGACTGTTTTCAGGGATTTAGTTGCCAGAACCGCAGCTTTATTCATTTAAATTGATTTCATTTTATAAGGAGATATATCTGCCTTCTGGTAAACCAAGAAGTCAAAAATATCAAGGATGTTTGGCTGAAATACACAAAAACATGAAGACGCATACCTACTTTAAAATGTTCCACAATAGTTTACTACTACTACTTATTAAGATCCCAATCATTTCTCACTATTAATGGAATTACTTTAGGAGAAAAACATCAATATATCATCTGCATAAACAGTAATACATTTATCTGTAATGATAAGATCAAATGTAAGACCTTATGCAGACCTTTAGCTTTTCTCTTTCTTAAAAATTTTCAGATTCTCTCTAAAGGTAATCTTGAAACGATGACGGACTATTGAAAATGTTTTATATGAAAGATTATCACAGTAAAGTACAGGAAGGAGGCGTCTGAACTGTTTGAGATAAAAAGAGCACTTCAGAAAAGAAGAGATACTCTCCCTGAGTGTCCCTGATATTGTTTTTTTGTTCTTTATATGCGTAACTAAATGAAAGGGACTCTTGAGCGTTGTCACTTTTCCTTTCTTTATCTGCTTAGTTCCGAGGTGCCCAAACATATCAAAGGACGGGAAAATGACGTAAGAAAGTTAAACTGAATCACAGATGACGAAAACAGCAAAAATAAGAACAGAGATAAAAAGAGGTTGAAATCAGACAAAATAAATATTATTTTGAAGGAAATTACTTTTATGTCTAACAAAAAAAATGATTCCTCAGCTTTAGTTTGAGTCCCCAAGATATCAAATACCCCCCAATAAAAACAGTCTGTTTCTAATCCACAGCGTTAAGCATTCAGCTAGTGATGTTCTGACACAAACGCACGCATGTTGCAAACACCCAGTCTAAAACACACTCGGAGGGAGAGAACAAACATTAGCACACAAAACACACCATGAACTCAGGATACAAACACGAGCCCAAGGCAACAAACATGAGGAGAGAGCATGCAGATGAACATGAACACAACAAACATGCCAAACCCTTGGATACATACTTAGTGTAATGAAGTTAAACAGCAACCATGCACACATGCAAACACAATATACAATCCAGATAAAAGCTTTATCCAAAAACAACAAACCGAGGGGAGTTTAGTCATATCTGCTAATCCCACAAATCTTCCTCTTCAGGCATTCTTCTGATATCTCCATTAATGTGACAATGGCAAAACGTCCCATGGCGCATTCTAATACGAGTTTAATCGCTGAAATAATAAGACAGTGTCCGCTTCTGCTCTGTAAACTTGCATGTTCATAGAAGTTATACTATTCTTCACATCAGATGCAAGTAGGAGGTCGGATTGAAGCTTTTAGCTTTAATTATATGCTAAGAAAAAAAAAAGTCAATCTTTGATTAAAAAAAGTCCTTTCATTGTCTTCCCTTTTGTATTTTTTTTGTTCTGACCCCTTGAGCTACAACAAAAACCCCTTAAAGAGCCACATTTAAACAACTGGACCGGGCTTTTTCGAGTGAAAACAAACCCACATGCTTTGCTGAGGGGAATCACACAGACAACTAATAAACTACTTGTTGAATTTTCTGTCATTCAGCTGATGCTCTCACAATGAGCTCAGCAGCGTTCGGCATTTTTACAGGAACACAAAATGAGGTTTTGAGAGGTAGTTTTTCCCTTTGTTTAGTATGTTGCTGGTAAATGAAGGCAAAAAAAAAGAAATTACAGATTAATGCCAGAGAAAAATAATTTAGTCTGTAGAGCATCAAACCCCTTCAGAGAAAACAAAAGTCTTAAAAAATTGTTCGTTAAGGTTAGTTAATCTCATATCATTGATAAAAAATTGGGTGCTTGATATTTTTGAGATACATTCATTAATTCATATGAAAATACATCATTTTAAAAACAATTCTACTCCAACACTAAGCACACAAAGTGAAACTTTGAAGAGACTTTTTAAATCATGTGAACAACTGCTGCAACTTGACCAAAAGAAAGCCACGCTAACCTCAGACAAAGGGACCATTCAACCCAATTTCATCCTACAGAATGATTTTAGCTGAGGTTCTTGAAGCTATTTTAAGACAAAAACTTTAATATTTAACTTTAAAACACTAAAACAAGAAGCAAACTGCAAGAAGCAATGCCACCAAGGAAGAAAACAGACTAACACAGACAGAAAGAGATGTAACATGTCGCCTTGTCTCACGATAACACCGCAACACAAAAAAACAACAACAAAAAAACCCAGTAATTTCCCTGTCGGTCTCCCAGACCTGTAGTTTCTGATCCATCTCCTTCATCCATAACCATCAGAGCCATCCAACCAACCCCCAACCAAATCATCGCCACATCACCCGCTACGACACTATTCTCACTCCCCTTTCAAGTGGCAGGTAGAGGGGCCCCGAAACGCCGCTGCTGCTGCTGCTGCCTCACAGGCAGCGGGCTAATTATAAGGGAGGCAGCAACAAGTGAGCTTTGTGTTGAGCCTCGAAGACACACACATGAGCAAAGAAAGTGCTCTTTATCTTCCCCTCTACCTCTTCAATCTCTCCCTTAAATGAAACAAACTTTACAAACAAACACATAGTAGGCAGAAGCCGTCACGTTTGTCGAACATGTCGCCGGATATGCAGCTTAATGCACAAAAGCTACACAAAAGATGTTTAAAGTAGGCTTATTTGTAGTGCATTTAGGTCAGAGTCTTGGCATGTTGCCTTATCAGCAGAAACCTTTGAAGTAGATCCCTATTTACATTTACATTATAGTGCCTGGAAAAATGTATTAATACCTTAAATAAAATAAAAAAAACTGTATACTATCAGAGTTTCCAACATAAAGTTTCCACAAAATATAGATGAAAAAAGACATTATGGACGTGCTACATAGAGGAGGATCTAATACACCTATCTTAGTGTAAATCTCTCTTCTTCACAATAATCACATTTGTAAACAGCCATCATATGGATGCCCAAGAGGAATTTCTTGTTGAATCTTTTCTGTGTTTTCGAACAGGGGATGACCATCCCTGCATATCTGAAAGCCTTTAACAAGTCTTTCTGATGTTGGCCTCCAGCGAAGGGAACGCTCAGCTGTTATTAAGGCCGCGGCAAACCCAGCTATCTTTCACGCTCGGTGTAAAGAGATGGGAAAAAAAAAACATCACGTGGAACGGTCAAAGACAGCAGTACCAATCATTTGCCAAACGTAAAGAGAGGACCCCCCTCCTTCTCCTTAGAAAAAGACAAAAAAAAGTCATTTCTTAGGGTTTTGCCTCACTGCGAAAACCTAGATGGGTGTTTTTTTTTTTTGTTTCAAGAGGCACAGCACCAGTCAGAGCACATATAAGGTTTTTGATTGATTCACAGTGAGGCGACGGTCATCCTAGCAGGCCTCCTCTCATCCGACATAAACCTTTGCTACACTAAAACAGGGTTATGCATCGATCTAACATAAATGCAGTACTTTTAAAACAGTTTTCATTATGTAATTAAAACAAATATAACTTTGTAGACAAGATAGGCTCTTTTAATAGAAAAAAAATACATAAAATGAAGTTTAATGTTTAAAAAGATACTTTTACACAACAGTCTCCATTGAAAAGTATTCGTAAAAAAACAACTTTTTTCTGCCTTTCTTTTCACTATTTAATGCTGTTTGTTTTAAAATACAAAGATGTTGCTGCCTGAAAAAAGAAAAGGCATCAACTAAGCAAAAATGTACACATGGCTGCCCTTTTTTTTTTCTTTTAGTTTTACCATTTATGTGATTTTATTCTAATATTCCAGAGGGCCCTGGACCAAATCCTGTGGATTTGAAGCAGCAGCAAAAATAAAAACGAAGCAACAACTGGCACTGCAACATCAGTTTATAGATAAGGAAATCACAGAGGTAAGGCTGGGCTCAGATTAAAAAAACGCACAAAAATCAGTGAGCAGCAGGCGGATGGATGAGTTAACACAAGCAAAAAAAAGAGAACTTACGGATGGTGAAACTGAGCTGTTGGGGAGGTAAGGGTCTGGCAGCATCAGGAACGGATACCCTGGATACGCCGGCGACTTGTACATGCCTCCATCTTGTTGTTTTGACACTGAGATTGAATACATAAATAACAAAAGAACAGTCACGATTTACAAAAAAACAGTTTCAAATCAAGCCTTTATCATCTCTTTTAACTATATGCTCTGAAGATGTAGGGGCAAATTCTAAAAGCAGAGTCTGAGAGTTGATGAAATTGAGGCTAAATCTGACACTTACTCACACTCACACAGCTGAAAAGCTTTAACAATACCAAAACGCAGACATCCAAAATAAACGTGCATGCAGAACAGGTAAACTATTACCGAGTGGTTGCATCATGTCACATCCTTGCACGAGCACAGACTTGATATATTTGTAATACTCTGAAAAACACTGCTCAAGCCTTCACCTACAGCCCAGAGGCGTGAACTTAAGGAGAAGTGTTTGTGTGAGTTCACTTCCACCACCACCCTCATTAAGTGTGTGTGTGTGTGTGTGTGTGGAGGGGGGCTTTCTTTCTGCAGGTTAGGTTATACACCTACTGAGACTGAAACTCAAACTTAGACAAAGCAGTTGGTCACGTTTGTCTCTGCTAAGCATTTTTTTTTTTTGCCAAGATTTAAGTGAAATAACGCAGATCTGCTGATGTTTATTGACGGATTTCTGCAGCTTTCAGTTTGTCTCAAAGATCCACTTGAAACCACAAAATTCAGCTTTGATGAAGGCTTTTTTTCTCAAAAGACCCCCAATGTGACGACATTGCTGGTATTAGTAAGGAGCAAAATGAGAGAAACGACTGAAGGCAGCCTATTATTAAATCCGCCAAGTAAAACTTTGCTTTCAAAATGTGTTAGAGGGAAGTTATTCTGCTCATTTTTGGATGGAGGGCAAGAAAAAAAATGTCTACTGTTTCACCAAAGTGAAGATAAAGCTATAATTTTCTTTAAAATTACATTTGAAAGCACAAAAAAAACAAAAGCAAAACCTAACGGAAAAAAAAAAAAAAAAAAAAACACTCCAATGGAGGATAAAGTTTGGATTAGGCCATTATTTAATAACTAACAGGAAGGCGTCAACTCAACAAAAAAAGTTAGGGATCGCAGAGCTGGAGCTGACAGCGTATGACATGTAGCCTGTATAGAATGGTCTGCATTATTTCAAAAAGCATTTTATTCAAGGAGCCTCACAGGGTTTGTTCTGTCACTGGGAGTCAGACAGTTTTAGGAAAGACCTCACACGCTGACAGCGTTTAAGCTGCAGGTCAAAAACCAGCCACTATATAATTCTCTGCACTTCATACAAACTCCTAAGTGCGGAGCAGCACGTTCCTTACTATAAACTAGTTATTACACATTTTATATGCAAGGAAGCCATGTTGGATTTTCCTAATCAGAATACCTTGAAATCACGTGGGAGTCTACATCATTTCTGACCCCTCTCGATAAAATGCCTTCCTGTCACCTTTTTGACGTTTTTATTTAAAAGTATCTCACGATGGAAACATTTAGCATGTTTATTGCACCTTTCCACCATGCAACCCTGAAACTTTACACCCCAAATCTTAATTACCCTGAACCCTCAACTTCCCCTGGGGCTGTTTGTCATGTGCAGTTCGCATGCAGCTACTGTTTATGGAAAATACATCTGCTGATGCTAAGAGGGTCAACGTGTGCTTACACACAGGGAGGGAAGTTACTCTTTTTTTTTCTGTGAAGTAGCAAAGAAAAAAAAGACCTGAGTAAAATTTAAAAAGCTTGAACCGCTCTTTTTTAATATAATAAAAACTAAAGCAGTTTAATGCATTTCATTGCAAAGACGTAGCTGTTAGGCAGAATATTAAGAATATTCTGAATGGAAACTGGAATACAGGTTTTAGTTTCCTTAAGGTTTTCCATTTTGTATATTCATAGAAGCTAAATAAGGGGGGAAAAGGGGGTCCTTGTTAGACGTAGTAGTTTTAAATCCCAATTATAATTAAGAAAATGCACCTTTTTATCAAAGACGTGTCCCGGAGCTTTATCTGACGTTAGACAAAATAAAAAGGTCCTTTTTAAGAACCTGCTGCTTATAGATGTATTCAGTGATCAAAGACAGATAGACTTCCTTATTTTGTTTATTGATTAGTACAAAATCAAATGTTTTCATTATTTGACCTGCAAATCTCTACTCAGAAACACTAAAGATAAAAGATTTAAACAAATGTTAAACCCTGGTTGGTTTATTGCAGCATTTCTTGTTGGAGTTCATTGATATGTTGCATTCAATGCTTTGTGAGAAAGGTAAAATGCTGACTTATAAATAGCTGGAAAGAAACTAATAGGGTGATGCAGGGGTTAGGATGTGATGTTTTGGAGAATTATTCATACAATGCATTGCTTTAAAAAATGTTGAATAAATAGATTTTAATAAGAAAATAAAATGCAAATAATAAACAGATTATCTGCTTAAACAGGTGATGTAAACATAACTTGTGACATGATGGACAGCTTTAGAAAGTCTTTGAAGTTGGGTCTCCTTTGACCAAAATCCCTTTTCTTTCAGAGCTGTAACTTTTCTATCAAAGCGTGTTAGACAGAGGAACCCAGGGGCCCCTCAGGCCGGCTGAGAGGAAAGGTTTTCATCTTACCTCCTTCGAGATGCTCTCGGTGTTTATCCTGGAAGACCCTGTGCTCGCCCTGCTGTCCCCGTCTGACCGCCTGGGAACAACAAAACACGGACTCAGGTGAGATTTATTTACTTACTAATGACGTGAGGGATTTAAAAAAAAAAAAAAAAAGAAACAGTAAATGCACAGGTCAACAAAGTTCTCAACTCTCTTATCTACACGAGGAATAACTTTATAGCGAGTTTATTACACTTCTTTTTACACGTGTTTTTAATGCGGCATCCCGCTTGGGAACTTTAAACCCAGAAGGGGAACATTTTTTTTTTCTTCATCCAGATGTTGTCAGGTATAAAACAAGCTTCCACGCTAATGTTTGCCTCTATTTTGCAACAAACGCACAGAGAGAGAGACAAACATGCAAACAAACGGTCTCTGTGCCACCTACCGCCGTGTTCGGACTTTGATTTATTTCCGACTCGTTCACCAGAGAGGACTTGAGGTCGGCCAGGTCTCTCTCTGTGAAGGCGTTCTCCTGGATTTTCTCCTCCTGTTCTCCTTCGTCTTTGAACGCTATCATCTCATCATTCGCTCCCAGGTCGTCCCCTCCGCCGCTGCTGAGCTGAGGCATGACTACTTCCCTCCCCTAGACTTGTTTTTTCCACCTCTCTTATAAAGTTGTTAAAAAAACAAACAAACAAAAATAAAAATAAAAGTATAAATAAAGAAAAGAATAAAGTGACTTTTTCAGGTAGATATCCTCAGTTTGGTGGCCTCCAAGAAGAAAAAAGTAGAGAAAGCCCCAGCACCTAGAGAGAAAAAGTTGAGATGTGGCGTTTCCCCCGGCTGGTTGCTTGGTAGGAGAATAATGTTTCACTACAACAGCAAACAGCTCATTTGAGTCCAAGACAAGGCGAGGAGTCCCGACTTCAAAGGGCGCCGACCGCTTGATTGACAGGTCCGATGACTTGTTGGGGGGTTGTACGATTGTTTCAGCAGAGGGCTGAGCCTCTTAAAGAGACATCACCTCCCTCTGCTGCGCTCAACAGGCATTATTCATGACTTCCAGGGCCGGCTTCGATATATTCACGGCCCGCGGGTTGCTACAGACACAAATACTGTTTATATAATACATCATGAGCTTTCTTTTGTGTAATTAGACAGGAAGCACATTTCTTTGCAAATGACAACAGACGTTTTTGCTTAGCCTACTTAAATAACAAACTTGCATAATGATGGCTTAGAAATAGTAGAAATGCACTGAATAAAAGACACATTTTAAGAATTATTCTTTTTTTATGTATTAATGGAATTATTAAATTGTATGACAGGCTAAAAAAAAATAATAATTTGAATAATAAAAACTTTAAAAGAAATTGACCGTCTAATATAAGTGTCCAGACTTTTCAGCATCAGATTTTCTTACATGATTTTTCTGTTTTTACCCTCCAATCTACTCTGATCAGCTTCCCTCTCCCCGCTGAAACTACTCTTTCCCACATCATGATGTTGTTTAACACCATGTTACACTGTGAGAGATAATATAACATTTTCATCCATGCATAAACCTTTATATGTAGGCCAAAAGGCAACATTTTGCCCTTTTTTTTTAATTATTTTTCAGCTTTTTCCCCCCCCATCTCTTTTTCTAAGCCCTGCCTGCATTTACTACAATGTTGTGGATTTATTCAGCTCCTCCACAGTTAACTCTTTTTTTTGTTTGTTTGTTTGTTTTGCTGCTTCTCTAACCAATGCTCTGTCTATCCCTGTTATTTGTGAGAGTGAGAAACAATGCAGAGGCAGGGTGCCCCCATTATACAATACATATCAGAACAACAGAAGTTAGATATTTTCAACAAATTATAATTTTTATGAAATTCTTTTATTTTAAAACTTAAAGCAATTTAAAGTTTAAATGTATGCTCTAATCTCAAGCTTTTTTTTTTTTTTTTACATAAATGACCCCTGACTACTATTTTAGAGAAGTTTAAACTCTTTGTTTACTTAATCCTTTATATTAAAAAAATAAATAAAAAATTACAACAGAAGTTTTGGAAGAAACCTGAAAGCTACTGTCCTTACACTTCATTTCTGAACTTAAAGGGACCTCCCATTAATCCCCTTCCCTTTGATGGCTATCTCTAATCCTAACATCAGAACCAGAATCAAGTTTATTGCCAGGTAGGTTTGCACTTACAGGGAGTTTAAATTGATGTTGATGGTGCAGGCAAATTAGATATATATACATAATCTATAGCTAGATACAATAAAAAATATACAATATACTATATATAGTATATACACCAGCTATATACTGTATACACAGTAGACTGTGTCTTAATATAACACATGAGGTCCAGAGGTGCTAAATTGGTGAGGTCCTGAATAGGGGGGAGAGAGAGGAAGTGTCAGTGTCACGGGGGTCTCTGGGCCTTGTTGATAAGGCTGGTAGCGCATGGAAAGAAACTGTTGTTGTGGCGTGAGGTTTTGGTCCTGATGGACCGCAGCCTCCTGCCAGAGGGAAGTGTCTAAAATAGTTTGTGGCTGGGGTGCGAGGGATCAGCCACAATCTTCCTTGCACGCCTCAGAGTCCTGGAGGCGTACAGATCCTGGAGAGATGGAAGACAGCAGTCAATCACCTTCTCTGCAGACCGGATGATACGCTGCAATCTGTCCTTCTCCTTGACGGTGGTGCAAGTTTACCAAATGGTGATGGAGGAGGTGAGGATGGACTCAATGATGGAGGAGTAGAACTGCACCATCATCGGTTGATGAGAAATCTAAACCTAAGGTAAGTTGTTTTAATAGGATTTTATTAAGTTCCTATTGATTTAAAATCAGCCTGAGTTCTTTTAAGTTAAAGTTAAAAAACAATTTGTATAGAACTTTGACTGTTTAAGTTAAACTGTTAATTAGCTATTATTAGTTAAAATTTTCAGTTTTTTTTACTCATGTTATTACCTCTGCCTGCTTTTATTTTCCTCCTTTTTTATTGTTTGATTCATGTAAAGCACTTTGAACTGAATTGTGGTCTACAAATAAGTTTGCCTTGCCTTTTGGTGTGTACTTCCGACACTAATTTTAAAAATGGCGGCGCTCTACCCCAGTAGTATAGAACTTTCAGTTTAAATGACAGATAATGACTTGTTGGCTCTGCAGATGTGCTACCTCTTTTTTTCTTTTGATAGGTTAACATGTGTTTAATTTGTTGTTATTTTTGGCATATTGTTTCATAACCTAATGCTGTTTTTAAACTTCTCAACATCGTTGCTCTCTGATTTGCCTGTCCGTTTCCTTTATGATGATCTTCATGATGTTGTTTGTTTACTGATGTTCTTTAGCAAACCTCTCAGGCCCTCGCAGAAAAGCATATTTTACATCCAGATTTAGCTAAACACAAGTAAACTCTTTATGGTTTGATTGCCGTTCACTTGGATTTTCTGAATTCTGGGTCAGAGATGTAACCTCCAGTTATTTTGCAGCAGTCGCCTGTCAAACTAGTGAACTAGTAGTTCTCATATTTTGAAACTAAACTCCTCATTTGCATCAACAGAGAAGTGGCAGCTCAAACAAGAAGCAGCAAAATGTAGGACATTCTGTGAAAAAACATCAGAAGGCATGAATAACAGAAGCACAGCATGTTTTGGCTGGTCCTTACATCCCCCAGATTTTGTAACAGCCTAAAAAAAAAAAGCCAGAAAGTGCTAGCCATTGCAACTACTCGATTGGAGGGAGGGAAAGATGGGAAAGAAAACACAGTTCAAAGATGTAGACTTGAAGTTCTGATGTCTTATCAAACTCATAACTTGCCTTCCCGTTTTCCTCCCAATGCCAATGCATATTTAATGCCGATACAGTAGCATAGCTGGTCTTCTGAGTTTTTAATTGAGAAATATTTATACACTCTCATGCTGCGACTTAATATTCGACCTAATCTGAGTCTGTTGCCTTGAATGAGAATGATGATCCACAGCTGGGAAACAGAATTAAATACAAACAGAAAACGGGCCTGGTATTTGCATAAAGCTGCATATTTATACAATATCGTTGATGCATATTAATAAAAAGATTAAAATGAGCGTTTTTAATGTATGCTAATCTAAATTATAAATGAGTTGTTTAAACTCCTTGTTTATTCCCCTTGATTAAATATAGACAGCTGGTTTTTTTTCCAGTGAGAGGGCACTTCTCCTGCATAGGCCACACTGCCTCATGAGCATGCAGTGCTCTGATCTTAAATAAATACCAGTACTTTTAAATGCTGATGTTCGTCACATTGAGGCAAAAGTTCACCTGAGGCTTCACAGATCTGGTGCTAAGCAGAATTCTGATATGTACACACTCTCTGATCAACGTGTCCTAAATAGACTCTTACCCACACACCTCGGAGTATGTGCCTTTAGCTCTCTTTTTTACGTTGGCTTTATTGGTTGGATTATTTATGTCAGACGATTGTTGTATTTTACCTTCAAACCAACCCTCTCTAACACTCCAGAGCTTTTTCTTTCCTTTTCTTTGACTGTTACACCACGTGCATCCTTTCTTATCGTCCTTCATCTCTCACTCTAATGAGTGTCGTCTGTGACATCAGACGACACTGCCAGTTGTTGACAGGAAAGGCCAAAAAAGGAAACATGAACAGATTGAAAAGATAAGCATCCTACACCAGGAAAAAAAAAAAAAGACACACTGCTGCTATGACCCAACAAGACAGGTTTCTCACACACAGTCAGAGATAAAGAACAAGCTCTATATCTGAAAAACAAAAAAAACAATCGCTGTGGTTCCTCTGGTAAAATAAACTCTGGCAATTAGGTTCATCTTTAAATTTAGCTAGCACTGTTGAAGCCCAACTTAAATGAGTGAATAAAATAACACTGTAAATAAAAGACGTAAAATATAAAAATAAATATAATGCATTTATATTTAAACATAAGGTAAGTGCTTCACAAGTTAAAAAAAGGGAGACATTTGAGAAAAGGGGTCAAACTATATTGAATTTCCTTGCAGCAGACGCGATTATAAACAAGTCCTAAAATACATTTAACAGCATATTAAAAGATGTTTAACAAAAATAATTATATATACCGGTAATAAAAAAAAATAAATAAAAAATTTACTATTTCTGTGATTTTTTTTGTGTGTGTGTGTTTTTTTTCAGGGAACAGGCTAAGCTATGCAAGACATTTTCTTCTTTCTATCTCTTTTCATTCATTTGTCAGGCTTGTTTCTAGTTTGTTTTTTTTACCCACATGCATAATCATATGGAGAACCTGTGAGTTTTAACATATATTTACAAAAAGCAACTTGGATCTGGATACGCAGAACTACAGGAATTTAGTTGAACTTTCCGGTTGGTCTGAGGGGAGAAAGCAGACTGATCAGGAAGGAGTTGGTTGGTGCAAACTTATTGATTTGATTTCTTCAGCGATGAAGGGGAGGTGGCATGGATCTATAGGGATTTGATTCAGCAGGCTTTGCAAACTGCAACCCAAAGGTCCACGAGAATGTGAGTGAGATCCCTGCAAGGAACGACGTGCTGAAGAGCAGGTAGGCAGGTGATAAAGACTGAGAACTGCTGAACACAGGTAATGTCAAGCTCAGAACAAAAGCACCCAGTATTCAAGGTGGAGAGACAGATTTATCAAAATGTTTATTAAAACCAGAACTACAGTAAACACTGTCAGCCTCTAAGGCAGGAACCTCTGTAAGAGGAGACCACAGGTTAGTGACCACGGCTGCGTTCAAGTTTATGGGCTGCATCTTCCACACGGTCTACCTGGATTGGATCCTTCAAAGTCCGTGAAAATAAGGAGACCAGAAGAGTTTTAGCTGTGAACTCAAACAGGTCTAGCCTTAGCAACCATGACAGTTGACACACAATGCAGGAAAAGAATTAATAACAGACTTTTTAAAACTGTTTCTCATCATATTTTTTCTTTTTTATTGTAAAATGAACGAAGACTACACTCA